TCACTGAAATCACATATTGTCAAATTCACTAATGGGATGCATAAAAAAGGAGTTTTGGCAGATGGGAACATTATTTCCGGTATCTGTTCGGTATCTGCCGAACTACTTAGCGAAACCAGTATCTGTATTTTAGAAGAAAGTCAAAAATACATTTATGAAGAACCACCAAATATGAGCATCGATGGACGATATTATTGACGCCGTATTTGAAAATGTTCACTATGAAAACAATATTACTAATGAAGTCAAAATTATCCAAGTTGATGATTCTAAGAATCAGAAAGTGATAGTGCACAGTAATTTAAAAATACTAACAAATGTATGGTCTCAACATTTGTACTGGCCAAAAATCGAAAAAACACGGACAAAAAAACTCCAACGGCACCTATGCCCCTTGCAATTACATCGAAGAAATAGAAAGAATATACATAGACAAAAGATGCTGAAAAAAAAGAGAAGGAAGACTTGATTCTGAAAAGGAAAGCCATGAGGGAGACTGAAAAGCAAGAGAAGGAAAAGAATAAATCACAGTTTCCTAGAAAGAGGAAAACCATCCAAACTAATGTTCTACCTGAACAAAATTGTAATTGATTTCTATACATAATATTGGCAACTTAAAATTCAATTTCTTACCGTAGGTACTCATATAACACCGTCAATAACCAAAAAGAAAAAACTTACTCAGTGGAGACCAATGCATGTAAAATAATATGTGACAATTCGGAAGAAGTTGTAGAAAATGGGGATATGTTTTACAAGAAATAGGTAAACAGGTATATTTAGACCTCGTTTTGAGTTTGACTATCACTTTTTCAGGATCAACTATTATGAAAAAGGGTATAAGAAAGAACAAGTTAACTGACACCTTGACATCTGATGTGTCTACAATAGTTGAAAATGATTATGGAAAAATTACCATAGGTTCTTATGTAATAGTCAGATACCAGAAGAAATACTTTCCTGGCATTGTCACCAATATAGAAGACGATGAATATGAGTTTCAAGCTATGGCCCCACTTAGCCCCAATTTGTTCAAATGGCCGGTTCCTGAAGACCAAATTTGGTACAATAAAATCAGATCATGGAAGCAATTTTACCACTGATTTTGAAAAAATTTGGATGTTATGAATGTCAAGAAATTAGAAAATATAACTAATGTTTATGCTATACTTATAATACATTGTATTTGTTCTTTGCATTATATGCCGGTTTATTGATTTTTATGCCCTTTTCTTATTTATTCAGAAATCTATTTACTTTGTTCATTTACTAGATCATGTGAGTTTATTTACTGGGATTGGGCGTTCATTTACTAGGGATTCATGCAATAATTACATTTAATTTTGATTTTGTTGCATTACATTGCATTAACTGAAATTCTATAATTAAATTTGGAAATTGATTATTTCAGCATCACATAGAAAGTTAGTTGACGTAAATATTTATTATGATGTAATAATTATGATGATTTGAAAATTAACAATGCCCTAACCGTTCATTTACTGGTGCTTCTACCCTAATTCAAACTCATATGAAAGATAAATAATGAAGATACAATATTATTTCAATATGTGTGAGTGAGAGATTATATTATGGAACAAAATATATACTATATGATATACTATGATAATATTCTTGAGTATCTGTTCAATCATCCACCAGTGAGGATCGAGAATTGAAGCGACATTTTGCCTGAACAAAACATTCACTGGTACAAAAACAAACGTGAATGGAATATTGTCAGAAACTGAGTTGAGCGTACGTACTTACCTAAAGAGAAATACAATTTGAATCGAGAGAAGTACGATTTTTTTCACTCATGACTTTTATTAGATACCAAATATTAGATACCGAATTGACTGCCGTGTTGTTCAGTGGTTCAAGCCCTAGTCTGAACGATAGATTTCCACTTACTATCGTCCAACCCGTGTTAGGAATCACACGTTAAAAGGTAAGACCTCGGTAATCCTTAGCTCGCACAAGTTTTGACTTCTGAGGATTGTCGTACATAGGGGTGCGACAGCTGGTTAACGGAAAAACAGATTAGATACCAATATAAATTCCAGTTCGATCGGTCCAAAAATACGACGTGTTTTTCAATATTAACAGACTTTATATAATAGGGTTACTCAATAAATAAGAGACTCAATAAATTAGAAATAATATCACTGTATTGTACTTTCATGACATATCTTGGTGAGTTGAGCTATATAGTTGCGCCGGCAGATTTTAAGACACTGGCAGAGAGGCGGTATGTCCCTCGTTTCGTGGTACCACACACCCACGCCCGATACTCGAAGGTACTCGTGTCAATATAAATACAAACAATGTGATACAAAATAGAATGAGTTCAAATGAGAATGGAGCATGGGGATGAAATTTATTTTTGTGCTTAATTTTTCTCACAGTTTTTCTGTCAATCCCTGTACCTTCACTATTTCTCCTAAAATTAATTTTTTCGTTTTCAACAACACTCAAACGAACATTGAGTTGTTCTCCTCCACTATACCTTATTGAATTGTGTGGTTTTTTGAAACGATTGTCCACAGAATCACTTTCTTTGAATGTTTTTTATATTGTTCCCAAGGTTCCAAAGATAATATTTTTTCCTGGAAGCCCGTGATTGAGAATACAAGCACCATCTCGATATGGCACGTTCTCACCATATAAAAGATCGATTTTCACTTCGTCTTGTGTGTATAAAACTTTAGGTAAATTAAACTTATTTGTGAATTATGAATGTACGAAAATATGTGAACATAACAACTCGATTCTTTAAACGCAATAATTTGGCATAAACCAAAACTAAAAATTTTGTTTCAGAAGCCTACTGAAGGAAAATTTTATTTCGATTTGATCAGTTCTCATTATTCTCTTCCCGACATGTTGCATTAATCTTGTAATATTTGGAATCACGAAATTTCATTTCATGTTTAGTGCAAATCGCTAGAACGAAAGTCTTTTGAATAGTTATGAAACTTTACATTAATGTTTAGTTTACAGAAAAGTATGATCCTTCAGGTCAGTTTGTAACTCAATTATTGGCCAGAGAAATAATCGAACTGAATAAAATTTATTTGAAAAAGGAGTAGGTACGACTGTAATGAGGATGTAGAAAAATACATATCTCCCACAAAACTTATACGATTATTATCGTTTCAATTCTACAATAAATAATGAGTTCTCAGTTGAACTACTCACCAAAAAGTAGTTTCTTCGTGTTGATAATATTACTATTTCGAAAACCATCAGCCATATTATATACATATTGGAAGAAAAATAAAAAACATTGCAACAGACAAACGTCCGACACAAGAAATACCAACACAAAACGACATGAAACAAACGAATGACTTTATCTGTGATTCTGATAAGCTGATATCTGTTTTTTAATTGATTACAGAAAAAAATAAATGAAAAAGGGTAATTTATTTAGGAGTTTTACTCATCAAATTGAAATATGCAGTATTAATTACATCGACATATCTTCTAGTGTTAAAACTATCGCATTTGAGGATATGTATCATTTCGCTCAAAAGTCCTACAGAACCCTGAATAAGAATTCATTTGAATTCAAAACGTCGACAAGGAAACAATTGTATTTTTAAGAAAAAATTGATCTTGTTACCCAACCAACCTTTTTTCAGGAGTACTGTTTAATGTTTGTCCGAGCTTTCGCAAATTTAATAAATTGTTTCTATCATCAGAGACGCCACAACATTTTGGGTCTGCGTAATATTAAATTTTGAATTGATGGTTTGACCCACAACTCTCTTGACGATGTTTCATACGATGATTTCGTGAAATATTGGGCACATAGTGTTGAATGAACATTGGTAAAATACATTTACCTACATGAAATTGGTGAAGGATGTCTACATTTTTGATAAAATTCGTTACAGCTCAAAATTAGGTATCGAAAGAGAATCTTATCAACACGTGGAAATTCACAAGTCGTCTCTGTTGGCTGGGACTGACAGACAGTTGACATGACATATGTCAGATGCATTAATGATAATATCTTTTTCGATTGATGACCTATTTATTTTGTAGACATTCATATTGAATATAGAATAAAGAAAATAACTTTCGTGTAATTTCTAATAATTTTATTATTTGTTACGAACGGTTTCGGTTTATTACACCATTTTCAAGTTAATTGAAAATGGTCATTTAGATGAAGCTGAAGAAGTTTTACTTCAGACGTGTGGTCCAAAACAAACTCGTTTTTTAATTATCTTTATTACAAAAGCAAACTTTATCGAGTGAAAATGCATTTCATTGTCGTAACAACCGAAAAATCATAATATAGACATTGGGATAAAAAACTTGTTATTTAACGTAAATGTATGTGTGTCGTATGCGTTTCCGTATGTGTGTCTGATTTGAGTGTGGTAAAGTTTGATTTATTTTGTGATTTAACTTAAGTTTCACTCACTAATCTAATACAAATACTCATGGAACTGTCAAGCAGAAAAATTAAGGATTTAAACACAAAAGACACTCAAAGGATCCGCAAATTATTTTGGCAGTTACCAAATATTTTTCGAATAACTTTTCAGCCGAATCAACAAAATCTTTGTCGCTAAAGTTTTTTCCTCCAAAGTCTGTGGTATCTGCTCTGAGATCAACCATAAAATGTGTTCTTTGTCTCATCGCTTCAGACAATGTTCAGCGTAGTCATATACAGAATGTAATATATGTCCCGAAAATAGTTTTACCTAACGTGAAAAATTTAATTTTTGTTCATTATAGTTAGTAACATGTGAACGCCAATTCATTTTAATTACATCGTGAGCAGTTATATTTCATAATTCAAACTTGTGACAAATTTAGAACTACCAGCAACGAGCAAAATAGCGTAATGAATATTCAGAAGCTTTGACATTGCCAGTTTTTCCAATAATTTATTTCCTTTTGAGTATGCCATGAAATTTTTTCGACTTCGTGGAATTTTTTAAGAGCACTCAATATCTGTTCACTGTTGAAAACTTTCCATATGTAACTAGATCGTTGAGTGATTAATCCGTCACTCATCGTCTTAATGCCATCAATTTCCCAGCGTCGTTCATTTAGATTCGTGACTTAAAGTCATATCAGTAACACATTTGGTCACTTTGTTAATAAGTGGTGTGAGTGCTCGATTTAATTCCGGAGATAAATTGTGCGGTGCAGCATGTGGGTACTCATGTGAAGTTCAGTTTATCTGCTCCAAGAAATATATCATCTGGAGTTGGTTACAAATGAGCTGTGAGGTAATAATGTTTTTTTCATCTCATGAACGTAATGAATTCAAATACATATCTATATAGGGAAAATACGTTCTTACACAGATAGAATATCTATTTTCATTGATTCACTGAAAATATCAGTATTTCTTAAAATAAAGAACGTTTGTATCAAATTCATTTTCTAGGCCACCTTCGAATTGCGTCGGATTCTTTTTTAGTTCATCATTTTATAAATGAAAATCAGTCAAACAGTCCTACAATGTTAATGGAGTTTTTTCCTAACACAAATCGTTATTTTTAACACCTCGACACTTGTTTCGATCACCAAATGATCATCTTCAAGAGGAAGATTGAACTGTTGATGATCTGAAGATGATCACCTGGTGATCGAAACACGTGTCGAGGTGTTAAAAATAACGATTTGGTGTTGGGAAAAAACTCCAGTAATATTCATTACTAAACCAAAGGTTCCAAACAGTACATCATAAAAACAGTCCTACGTCGATTCGAATCATGACTTTTGATTTTTTAGAATGTCAATAAGAATATATTGTGAGGGCTTTTTTGTAAGAAACAAACCTATGCAGACGTTGCAGCGCAAAAAAGAGCTTATATATATTTCATTGCGTCGATTATGGTAAATTTACTCATTACAACTCATGCTTATTTCGGAATCAATTGTTTTCAATAATTCTCAGAAATATCACTTACATATATATTCACAATTGATTGCAATGTAATGTCATAGAATTTGTTAACTAACCGTTTAAAACAATTAGAACATGTGCATCTTTGAAAACTCACATAATAAACAGTTTCGTTTCATTAGTTTTAATGAATTCCTTGATTGTTTTATCTTATTTGACATATTCATAATTTTGCAAAAACATGTTTGCGGTCTACCAGCTGATGCATGCCTCTGTATTCCTTTCACGAGAATTTCTTTGACCGCCTGATAAATATGAGAAGTGAACGTATACACTTCGAAGTTTTCTGATAACTGAGGATGATTATAACACACTAGTAAAACAAATACTTCTGGAGCACAACTTACTCTGCATATTCATTTCAGTTATCATATCAACAGTAAAAAACTGTGGCAAACGATTAAGGAATATAGTACAAGCGCCAGCGTACAAAGTAACGATAAACCATTTGAAATTGTACATAATAATCAGAAGGAAACAGACTATAAAAATAGCTGAAATCTTCAATGATGACTATACATCACTGCAACATATTTTCAATATTTCTCAGACCTGTAGATGAATCTGAAGTTATAACAATAATTAACAGTTTAAAAAGTGATTCTTCTCCCGGATTCGACAATATAACAGCAACAACCCTTAAACACATTGCTCCCCTTATTTCCATGCCTTTATGTCATCTCATAAATCAAATATTTACAAAAGGAGAATGTCCAAATCACTTCAAGGTTGCTATTGTCAAACCAGTCAAATAGGCAAATAGTTTTAATCGGTAGTATACAGAGTAGTGAAAAAAATATTAATCATGGAATCCCACAAAGAACCGTCCTGGGATCCATATTATTCCTAATATACTTGACCGATCTATTGATTGGATCAGATGCTGATAGGACTTACTTTCTTTTGTGGATGATACTGTGCTTTACGTTAGTATTTTTGAAACTATTCGTTCATGCATCTACTAATGCATCTAATTGAAATACACTGATATTTCTGAATATGCCGTCTACAACTAAATAGTTTTCATTGAATAATGGGATTATTTGGAAAGTGATTTCTGTCCTTTCGTCACTTCAGGTGGGAAATATGGAAAACAGATGGACATCTTTGGCCAAAGATCAAAATGAAACGTTATTCATTTGTTTATTTGATGATTGTCGACAGCATTTGTGAAACAAACTATCATTATCTCATCTGTTTGGGGGTTATCGCCTTGTATCTTCCAGAAGTGATGTTGGAGTTCAATTTGAAACTATCAAAATTTGGTGAAAAAACAGATATCATATCAGCTTTTGATAAATCCAATCGATGTCTTGTGTGAGTCAAGAAAAATTAAATAATTTTTGAAGATCCTTCTTCAGTCCCATGAAGTTTGAAATTTTTCACCTTCCAATTCTGATGACTATAAGAAAAACAATTATTGAAAACTTGAGAAGCGATAGGAAGCATAGTGCTATTCTATTTCTTATTATACTATGGTAACTCGCTTCAATACCTCTTTCACGGAAATCCATGTATGCAGAACAATTTCAATTCCAAAGTTTTATCTGGCCAGAGTTCATCATCATTCATGTTCAAATGGAATTGTTAGAACAGAAAGCATGAGAAGAATTTGCCAATTCTATTATATAAATCGCTTCTTACGATAGACATGATAAACTCTAGGGTAATACGTACAAGCTGATATAATGCATGATGAATCACGAAAAACTATTTTATACCTTTTCAGATCATCAAAAATTCGTGTAATTATAATTCCTCACTTTTGCTGCAGTTCCCCAAGGTACTTTTTTTCGGTACCTTTGGAGCTGTCTGACTTGTCCATCTAGTCCAAGTCTCCCGAAAACGCTGCAGCCTCTTGGGCTTATTACCCCAAAGTACTCACTATTGTATAACTTATATTGAATTCCTTCATATTTCAATGGTCTCTACTCCTACACTGCACTACTCGTTAACTATACTGTGATATGATCAGGCTTTTGTTGGTGATATCTAATATTTTATCTGCAACTGTAGCAGATATTGACAGAGGCGATAGTCTAACTGATTTACCTTGCAAACTGAATCATACTATGATACAGTTCATTTCCAGATGCTGCAAATTTGGTTGTCAAACCTCGCGCCCAGAAAAATGTTCTGTTGTATAAGTTCTGGTATATAAATGTAGTTAAAAATTTGTATAGAGTTTCTAGTGGACCTAGTACGTACTTAATTGAACAGACAATGAGTTGAAGTGCCTCGTTCGGTTGTGAGATACATGAATGACTTGCAGGTTTCAGATTATACCGGTGACATAAACAACGTTATCTTCACATCGTCAACTTCATCGCCAGGACATGTTCTGAACAAAAGTGTAATTATGGATACACTTCTTGATGTACTATCTACTTCGCTGAAAAATATTTCTCTGCCATTGCTGTTTGTGTTTCTCGTTCTGATTGGTAATGGTGAAAATACTAATGAAGTCGTTCGAAGCCAAGACGGTTACTCTCTTGATTCATTCCATGATATGGCATTTGGAAATGAGTAAGTATAATATTGTTGCATTTGTAGATTCAGAATACTCAGTGCAAGTGGTAGTGCAACCGATTTATGATCGATTAGTTGTGTGTTCGAACCAAACATTTATCAGTTATATATTTCATTATTTGTATCTTTCGATTCTGCTACATGACTGATTACACTGCAAATAACAATGATGTTCTTGAAGTGGCTTTAAGAGTTGTTAGTAATACCTACCCATAATTCGATGTTAATTACAACAGCAGTCGATGCCGCTGATATCAATTGAAATAAACCTCAAATATCAAAAATTGTCAACTGAATACAATGAAATCCAATATCTAACTGAACTATCCAGAACTATGTGAACTTGTCAAATTGTTGTTTCCACTGTAACAAAATATTGCAACTATGTTATTTTTCAGTATTCTGAAAATCCCTGGGTGATATATTCGAACACTAGTATTATATTATTTTTGAGACGCCTGGTATGAGATTTTTGTTGAATTTGAGTTAAATGCAAAATCTGATACTTTCCAACCAAGTACAAAAATGTATTTCATTGTCATATTCCTACCTATTGAAAAAGTGAAAAGCGCTCAACATAAGAATGAAAAATGAATGAATAAAAAATGAAAGAAAACTGAAGTTGACTGCAAACTTTGGCCAAAGGAAACCAACTATTTGGAAGTGCTGAAAATAAACGCGAGGAAGAAAATAGAAAACTATTGAATCGGCTAATCAAAATATAAATGACTATATCAATAACAAGTTTGACAAATCTTTAGTCGTCTTACCAGTCAATCAAGCGCATCTTGATTCAGCAAATTAATTGAATGATAACTTTCTTTGATATGTACTGAATGTTGAAAATCAAGGTACAAATGAAAATCCACTTTAATTTCTCCTACCTGACATCTTGTACTGACTCACAGTTTTTGCATATAATTAGTGGAGAGAATATAATTCGTAATGGTACGTTCCAATAGTTGTTTTGAAGAAATGTCTTCATTCTCTGTAACTGAGTTCATGACGAATTTTCAATTTTTGTTTAGAATTTGTAAGTCAGCTGTTGTATTAGCTGTTCATAAAAATGGCGAACAAATCTTTGTCGAATCAGTTTGTCAACTGCTTTCTCTAAGTTATTTCCTTCATTATCAAATTGAAATTTGAATTCATTACCAATTGTGCAATATCAAATGAATATCAATGAATATTGCAATAATTGTTAGTACAGTGCATGACATTTTAATACAGTACGTTGAGTGTTAACACTTATATTCGACTGGATTAATTGAATAATAAAGAGTATGTCAATTATCAATAGATATTGTTGATAGAAGAAAATCAAATGAAGAAATATATCAACAATAGTGGACAGCATTTCGCATTATCCGATATCTACTTGTGTAATGTTTTTTTGAATGCTGTTGATTTCAACTTAGAAATCTCTCTCATAAATTTCACAACCGGTTCATATGGATCATTTTTGCACTAAGCAATTTGAGAGCATTCATAGGTCATATAAATTGTACTGATTTTGTGGAACGTTGTCTAAGAATTGAAATGGAATATTTTCTGAATAGAATTTTTGATGGAAATATAAATAATTACTTGTATTGGATATTGCCTTGACATACTTAAATCAATTTTCGTAGGAACCCCTCAGGAAAATAATGCATTATGAAACATTGATGAAGTTTTCATTTCAAATATATTCCTCAGAAGTTTGAACTTTTAAAGACATCTTCATAATTTTTGTAATTTCAATCATACCCCGTCAACCAGCTGGTTACTAGCGGTGTTTTATATTTTATATCTTGTTATCAATTTCAATACATTTCGAAAAACACAACAATGAGTCTATTAATTTCTTTAGTCGGATACAAGCCTTTCTCTGTGGTAGTTGGACATTCCATGATAATGTGTTGATTCAAGTGGATGGTTTTTCCACTTCTGGCAACAATTCATATAAATTTCCAAATATTTCATTTCTGAGATTCTATTTAATTCGGAAGGGCAATTGCATTTTTGAAAATTTTTCTGTGAACATTTTGACCTATGAATTTTGATTGATATTTCTCACTACATTATTATATTATTGTATCCAGTTGTTATTTATTTTTCATATGGAAATGTCTCTCAAACAAGTATTGAAATCATATGATTCCATTCTGCCAATTTAGACTTGAGTAAGGTTTTCGAAAGTGCCAACCACTGCATTCTGTTGGAAAAGTTATTTCTTCACGGAATAGGGGATTTTCTTCATACCTTTTGAATTCTTATTTGAATAAAAAAAACTCAAAAGTTCGGTATCAAAGAAAATATTGTAGAGTACTTTTCGGATCTAACTCAAAGAAGAAACGATATTCCAGAAGCTCTCTACTCTTTAAAGTTTAGTAAATGATTTGTATGAAATATCTGAACTATCAAACAGCAATATTATAAAATATGCCAATGATCCTGAAAATCATACAATGAAGTGTATTAATTAGTCTCATCAAGTTATACATTAATTTCTCAGCTAAAAAGCTGGCAAGTAAATCCTATGCTATTTGAGTTTTGAAAAGTCATGTGATCGTTGCTCTCAAAACAACATATTATGGTAAAGTATATTCCTTTCTGAAGTACGGAACAATACTTCAGGAAAGAAGTAGTCATTTTGAAAAAAAAATTACTAACGAACGTATATTGATTATGAAATATACAGATTTTTGGCGAAATAGAATCAAAAGTATATATCTGTATCTACGCTTGTGAGATGTTTGTATTTGGATATATACTAACAAATCGAAATTTGAAAATGATGTAGATGAGTATAACTATTGCACAGGACAGAAAACAAAACTAATTTTTTTTAAAGCATATTTTAAAAAATACGGAGAGGATCACTATGATGCTATTGAGTTTCACAACCGTTCATTCGTATTTATAGCAGAACGTTGTACTAGACATATTTTCTGACATTCCGTTCGTTTTTGATCTCTTATATGATATTGAACCATATTCATCACACGAATTTTTTGACAAAATCGATTCCGCATAAATTTTCATATTATTCCATTGTTCACGTTGTTATAAATATCTTTCAAATTTATATTTTCAATTTTCAACATTTCGACTTTTCAATCTCAAAGTAGTGACTTTCCTCTGATATGAGTTTTTATCTAACTATGATTTTTTGTAATTTTGACAAAATATTTTTGTTACGGTTACCACTGTTCTTCAATATTGCTCTGAGTACACATTCATCCTGAAAAATATGTGCTTACTGTGATTTAGAGTTAGAACTTCGCATAACTTGTGAATTCGAAATTGATTATGCATGTTCGACACTATAATATGTTATTCAATCCTAGAAATGAATTGAATAAACATCGTTACATCCGATCATTTCAGCATAGAAACTCTCGAGTGTCCATCAAATAACGTCATAACATCGAAATACAAATGTAATGTGAATGGTAAATGGATAGATTGTAACAGAAACCACTGTTGTAAGGACTACACATTTGTAGGAGGACAGTAAGTATGAATGAGTTAATATTGACAAAACATTTTCAGAAGAAAGCTTTCATTAAAATGCCCTGAAAAACAAATTCAAATCAAATGAGACTCATCAATTTGTTGTTTTACACAATGTACCTGTACGATACACAAACTTGCTACTATGTTCATCTTCTCTATTTTTATCTGCACAGGTGAATCTCGAAACAAGTTTATGTATTATATGCATCGTGTAATGTAATAGATTGTTGGATTCAATGCACTTTGGAGTTCATCTAATACTATTCAGAGCAAGTTATTATAAGCTCCATTTCCATATGGATATATCCCACATATTCAGCATTACGCCATCGATTTTAGACACTCGACACCCTTTCGCTTTATACTTTATAATACTGACAAAATACAAATACTGACATGGAATCGCTGATGAATAAAAAAACTAAAACTATAGGAAGCCAATTTTCCGCTGATGCAATAACTCATTTTCGATACAGATTGGTCTTATGTTTGAAAACGAAATAATGTAAATCATGCATGCTACCAGTACGCTCTATGGTTTCTATACTATGAATTGCAACAAATATAGCTGAAAACATTCGGAAGAGAAAACGGGCTCATAAGATACTGAAAAAACAAAAAATCTCTTCTTCAGCCATCTTCATCATTTCGTGAAATGTAGTGTGAGAACAAATCAACAATGCTTATTGAAACATTCATCGTGAAATTGTTCGCAAAATAAACGATGCTCCAAGTATATTTGGAATATCGTGTGAAGCAAAAGAAGCAATCCAAAAATTCCTGGTGCTTTGAAGAATGAAACTGAAACCTACAATGAACCAAAAGGAATTTCTGATGCAATTGCTATTTTTTTCGGAAACGTTGGAATTTCATTTGACATGTCTTCGTATCATACCTTTGATATCTTCGATTACCAGTACCTATAAACGATTCATTATTCAATATTTCCTGAAGTGTGAACTTCTTGTTTCACTCGACCCGACCCCTAACCGCTATGAACTAATCATAACCCTCTTGCTCCTTCAGTCCGTTGAAAAAGAAGGTATCAACTCATCAGTTTGTCCGCACTCTTCACCTGAAATTACTTTTTTTTTCGATGAAGATTATAACATCTCATACTCGTATTTTATTCCTAATGGTCCCTTCATTATTTGCGTTTCTCGAAATATTAAGGAGTCAAGAACATTTCGTATTTCAATGTAAATTCAGTAATCTCACTCACTTTCAATACATTGAAGGGCTATATATTAAATATACAACACGAATGAAAACAAATAATTTGTTGAAATGCTGACGAATTATAAGTGTCATGTATTCCTGTCTAATAGTGTCAGGCGATCTCGTCGGACGAAAAGCCATTCCTGTAGAACGTCTTCCTTCGGTGAACATGATGCTTCTCAGATATATTTCATTTCCTGTTATTCCACTTTTCGCCGTTGTATGAAACCGTAGTGCCTTCAAAAATTTATATTTATCAAATCGTGTTGTAGCTGCACAAGCTGAGGATGAAGTTTGTTATTTTATTGAAACTTCTGGCAACTACAGGATTTATATATCTTCAGATTTTGCTTCATTCACCAATACTGAATTCTGAAATTGCTGTCAAAGCAAGACTTGTTAACATTGAGTTATTTCCATGAGTGAATACTATTTCTATAACAAATAATTCTACCTTTGTATATTTCATGATAAACTCACACAGTTTTTAAGCAAATCACATAACAATCTCTTCAGTGTTCACTGTTCAATAAAACATTACAGAATATTTCAGAATGGATTTCAGACAGAGAGCAGACAAAGTAACACGGGAATTCGGTATTCTGTTTCATAAAATCGGCTGAACTTTATCTGGAATTGACGAAAATCGTGAATACAAATGGTCCTCATATTTACAAACTGTTTTGGCGTTTGCTGAGCCAACTTACAAAAGGAATTCCAGATCCTAAATGAAACAGCTCAATTACAATTATTTCATTCAGCTTTCTGATGATATTTAACTCATCCTGTCTGCATTATCGTGTTCAGTATTAATATAATTTGTAATTGTATAGTCAGTGGTATGGTACTACTTTGAACATGCCTAAAGAAGTTACTGTGTGGTGAAACATTGGACTTATTTTTCACGGAAAATTTCATTTTCCAAGTTTCACTTCAGAAATGTAAATAATGAATTGAGGATAATAACAATAGGAATCCAGTACGATATTTTGTATGTGAGATACACTTGTATGAAATTTGCCCTTATTTTCCATTCTTGGATTTCCACTTCTTGACTTTTATCCGTAACTCCATCCAAGTTATGTACTGAAGTAGATAATGATTTCGACAGTAACTAAAAAAAAGCTGTTTTTCCGTTAATCAGCTGTCGCCCCCATACAAACGACAACTCTCAGAAGTTTAGAAACTTGTGCGAGCTAAGGACTATCGAGGTCTCATTTTTTAACGTGTGATTCCTAACACGAATTCCAATCGTAAATTCGAATCTAACTCGGATACGACTTTGACGTGAGCAGTTGACAAACTCTGACAACAATAGTGAAATTTTATAGCTTTTCGTGGATTATATTTTTTTATTACAAAACACAAGCACCACAGTGAAGTCCTTAAGGCGATTTCAGAACGGTACCTGTGCGAAAGTAGCGATTCATATTGTATTTGAATCGCTGGAGATTAAATCCACTTGGAAAAACGTTCTCAGCAAATGTATTCCACATAAACGAAGTTCTCCAAATGGAGGAGTTTTGAAATAGTGAAGTTCGAAGTTTACTGAGTTGAACCTCAAAAAGTATCTATAGGAGAGAGACAAATCTCCAACCTTTATTCGATGTTCCAGGCTATCAAGGTTGCAAGTGATATTCGCGTCTCCATTCAGGTGCATGGCTCTTTTCTGGATGGAATTTAGCAACTTCAGTGTATGTTTGGAGGCAGAGCTCTATACATGAGAACAATTCTCCAAAGTAAGTCTGATCTGAGCTTTATGAAGCATCAAAAATTGCTGAGTTGTGTACAGTTTTCTAGTTCGGAACAGTGTTCTAAGCTATTGAGAAGCAGCCTGCAAGTCGTCTTGAGTTTGTTCAGGTTGGAGCCCAGCTCTCTTACCCTTTTGGCTGATCTTTGTCGAAGAAGGACAAATGGGTTCATGACTGGGATATTGACGGCATGAAGTCCTCAGACATCAGTGCCGCCCTTCACGGGGTACCCCTACCTGGCTGGGGTGGGATGGATGAAAGATCTGTTCATCCTTTAACAGGTGACATGAGGGCCATATTCAACAGAGTGTCGGGGCCTTCTATATCGGGAGGGGTCGTCTACAGCCTAATCTATAGCTTTCCTGACTAAAGGATTTTCGTGAGTTTCCGCACCTTCAAAAACTCGCCGATTCCTCGTTTGAATTTTTATTCAATTTTTTTATTCAATTTTCATGTCAATCAATTATTCAGTTACATGATTTGTTTTCCGTGCGATTTACAATTCAATTCAATTACGATTTACAATTCAAATGTCTTATCATATAACCATATATTACACAATCTGTAGCCACCTAAGCTAGGCTTGTGTCGTGGCTACAAGATATAATAAAACACACAGTTCACATTTTCTTATTTCATAGATTTACTAGTGATTTGCCCCGTCTCCGCATGGGTGCAATGCTGATACTGAACATACACATAAACGTGGGCGATCACTGCTAATCATGAAGTACTACAGTGCGAAGCACGGCCTTCGACGCGCTATTTATAGGCATGCGCCGCCGCCCCCCCTGGCCGATATCGCCACAACCGCTATGTTCCTGCAATTTAAATCTGTAATATCTTCNCGTGCAAGAATAACGAGTTTTTAATGCTTCTTTTAATTTCCGATGTTGGCTGGGCCGGTTTTTCTATTTTTTTCGACATGTTTTCACCTACATTTATGAAGAAGGAGTTGAATTCATCTGCTACTTCTTTATCTGAGCTACATATTTGGTTACTGTCGTTAATTATGTCAAATTTCCGGGATTTACAGAGAGTATTTTCATTTGTAATATCTTTAATAGTTTCCCAAATTTTCTTAGTATTTTTTCCGGCGTTATTAATTTTATTTTTGTAATATTCGTTTTTTGTTGTCCTGATTAAGTTACATAAAAAGTTTCTGTAGCGTTTGTATTCATTTTTATGTTCTTCTGAAGGATTCTTTACTGATTTTTGTTTGAGGTAGTCCCTATGCTTTATTGAGTTGAGTAAGCCGAGCGTCATCCAAGATTTCAATTAGGTATGTTTTCGTGTATTATTATTATTATTAGTGAATCAGTAGTTCTTGTCACATGGTCGTACCGTCTTACTACATTTAATTTACTCAATATGGAATCAGTGAATGAAACATAGGAATGAATGAATAATATAATTTCACACAGTTTTCTAAATTAACTCGATAGCCAATGCAATCGAAATTGATAAATGTTAATTACGAGATGAACGGATTGTGTACTGTCAAACAATTATTGGACACTGTGAAATACATTACATGATGCAATGGTGAGGTTGCAAGCACTAATCGAGTGAGAACCCTATTATCGCTCTAAGTGTGTATTTAGTCCTATCACTTGCGGTTACTTAATTGGTATATGCACAATATACAATGAACGGGATCTATAATGCTGAATGAAATTGGAGAATCAGTATATAAAATTTCAAAACATGAACGAAAAATAGTTTAGATTCACTGACTTTTTGTATAAGCATGGAATGAATTTCTTATTGAAATAAAGTCTGCTGTGAAGACATGCTTAAACGTCTGTCGGATGTGATCCCATAATCATTTGGATTATGTAGTTATTTTCAGGTGAAAATAAAAATAACTACAACTTTCATTAAAAGGCTAGGAACAACGAATATTCGATATATTAATTACACTAGTTCGGACTTCCATTGTCTGCTATATAAAATGATTTGGAATCCCTGAAACAACTGAAACAGAAGAATTGAAAATTAATAGCTGAAAATAACAATTATATCAACCAAAATAAACCTGAAATGAAATAATAGTGAAAAAAATTACAAGTGAAAATAGAACAAATTATATATCGATTTCATTCCTTTGTTTGCGTTTTCATATGTTTCATTCCAAGTTCGTCCCACAAATACTACCGCAGTATCATCGGCGTAGGATGATAGTTTTCCTTCAAAATTGCTGATATTAAAAATACTGTTTACATAAAGCAAAAATAAAATAGAGCCTAATACTGTTCCCTGAGGTACGCCCATGCTGACGGGTAGCGGATTACTATATGAATCATCAATTTTTACTATCTGCATTCTGTTAGATGAGTAATCTTTGAAAATTTCGAGAGGCATTCCTCTAAATCCAATGTCCTGGAACCGCTGAAAGAGGATATCATGATTGACGGTGTCGAATGCCTTGGCTAAGTCTAAAAATATAGTGATGCATTTTGCCTGATCCTGAAAACTATTGAAAACATTATTTCCCAATTCAAAAACTGCTTCTTCAGTCGATAAATTTTCTCTGAAATCATATTGAGATTCGGAGAGGATCCCATTTATGTTACAATAATCAACTAGTCTATTTTTTAAGATCTTTTCAAATATTTTAGCAAAGTTATCAATAACTGTTATTGTTCTGTGGTTATTTGTTTTATGTTTATCCCCAGATTTATAAATCGGAGTTGTGATAGAATCTTTGAAAGTGGAAGGAATTTTACCAGTCAAAAAAATTGAGTTGAAGATATGACATAATGGCTTTAATAGATAGATTTGAAATGTTTTTACGAAGAATACTGAAATTTTATCTGGACCAGGTGAAGTATTGTTTTTCAAACCGGAGATTATATTCATAATTTCAGTTTCAGTTACAGCGTGCAAGAATAACGAGTTTTCAATGCTTCTTTTAATTTCCGATGTTGGCTGGGCCGGTTTTTCTATTTTTTTCGACATGTTTTCACCTACATTTATGAAGAAGGAGTTGAATTCATCTGCTACTTCTTTATCTGAGCTACATATTTGGTTACTGTCGTTAATTATGTCAAATTTCCGGGATTTACAGAGAGGGATGAACTGAGATGTCTAACAGGCCTTCTTACAGGTCACTGTCATTTGAATCATCATAAACAGAGACTCGGACTGTGGAAAAACAGTGTGTGTCGCCTCTGTTTGGAAAACAGCAGGTTTTTAAAGTTCGGAGAGCCTTACTCTTACCATCTGACCTGAAAGACCACGCACCATACAAACTAATCGGCTTCATTAAGAAGCTGGGTTTATTTGGTCTGGTGTGAATAGATGTGAGCCACAATAAACCCTTGCGGGTTGCAATGGAGGGTCAAATAGACCCACTCACTTTAGACGTAATCTTACCTAACCTAATGTTCACAATTGTATGCACTTCTCTGTTCATAAAATAAGCTAAATTTGAACAGCTGGAACTGTGAACAATCACCTTATTTTTTTTCAGCACACGTTCGTTCTTTATTCGGTTTACTACTACATTCTCTCAACCACTTCAGTTGAACTTCCGATTGATGGAATGATAAAGTGGATTTAATTTATATGGTACCTGTTTGTTGTTCAAATGTACACCCCTTCCTAAGTTATCCATTCATTATACCACGGTAATTAACTGATAACAATCTATATCGTTTAAATGAACACTGCAGAGGCAGGGATGTTATAAATAAAGGGAGGAGTGTGTCAAGGATTGTTGAACAGATTGAAAACAAAATATATGGAAAAGTGCAACACCTTTATTCAATTCATTCGACAATAGTTCCTAAACAACTGAAAAATTTCAGTGGCAATTAGGATCAATACAGAGTATCTCATTTTTCTAGTATGGAATGAAAGAAACAAAATTTGTGAAACAAACGAAAAAGGGTTCATTCAAGTGATTATGCCCGCGTCATCACAGATGTCATAACTTCAATTGCCTTAGCCGGGTATAGTCGAAGTAACCGACATAGTAAGTCTTAAAGCTTCGGCAAACTCAAAGACCAAAAAAACCAATACAATTTTTGTAAATCTGGTCTAAAGGGTCATTATAATATTTATTCCAAGTGTGTGAGTACATCAGTAATGTTCATTGATGAATGAACCTTATTCGGGAAATGAATGGTTTTCTTTTTCCTCGAACGTACATAATAATTGGCCAGAAACCAATAAAAAGGGATAATGCCGCTACGCATAAGTTCACTTGGACTGAAGAATTGGCGGTTCGTATTGGATAATTTTTACTAACCAAGTTATATGATTGGCTGAAGAGTCATAAAATTAAATTTAAAGTCATGTTACAGTGACCAATAGAACGTGAGGATGGTTAGAAGAGTCGTGTTGTCAAATGTTCAGTTCAGGAACTGATCGCGATTTGAGTGTTGAAATTTGATATTGGTGAAGTTATAATTACTTAAAATTTTTGTTATTTTTTTGAAATGTGGTGTCCTTGGACAACTTCTAATAGTAATAACGAGTGTGATAATAACGCAGACTTTTTCCTGTGTAGTGATTCCAATAGCTATGGTGAACAATGCGAAAAAGAGATACCAGATGCGGATGCATTTGAATATTGAAACACAGGTATGTTTCAATGTATATATAAGAATCTACATATCAAGTTTGATTTCGAGAGAAAAAACAACAACATCAGATTTGACCGAAATTCCTTTCTCAACTGTACGTAAAATAGTCAAAAACAAACCTTATGAACGCAAGACGCGATTTGATGCGGTGTTACCAAAACTTTCAGATGTTCTTCTAATAAAATCATTAAAACAATATAATCTGGTCACAGACATAACTTGGCTTGGTGTGGTTTCGTTGTGAAATGACACACACTATGATTTATCGTTCTTCACTTTTCACGGGATTTTACAACTACTTTGTACCGACTAAAACCTGTAGTTTTCAAGGAGCAATTTAACGTAGGTCTATTCACTATTTGACATGAGAAAGAAAAGTGAAATAAAACTTTAATAAGTATAGATACAGATGCACTCATACACATAAAAATTTATTGTCTTTTTGGATATACTGCAATAACGCTTGTTTGAAAGTGTGAATACTTTTGTTGTTTCTCAAAGAACCATGCCGTTTTTTAAATTCCACTATTCTTCTGAAAAACATACTATTTATTGCTGACCTAGAGTTTGTCCTGGATACATGGAACTTTATACTGGTTCTAGTGCCGTATTGGTGGACTTATTATTGACGTAATAAAATTATTGAAATAGCTAGGTTGAATACCCTTTATTATATTGGATATAAAAACCATACTAAGATAATAATATCTTTTTGAGATTGTTAACCACTGAAGAGAATCGAGCATAGTCTTTATCATAAGGGTAAGGTAAATGTACCAGTACCTGACACTTCAATGTCATCAATATACAAAAAAATCTTAATCATACCCTTTATTATTTTAGATATAAAAACCATACTTAGATGATAAGATCGGTTTGAGATTGATAACCACTGAAGAGAATCGAGCATAGGTAAATGTATCGGTACTTGATACTTTAAGGTCATTAATACACAAAAAATCTCCTGTTACCTGTTTAAACATACAAAAGAATCACAAACGGTTCCATTCCACATTTGACTATCATGGTGTATGGAACAAAACATCTTCAATGTTTTACCCTCTATTGATATGGTAATGATGGAACATATGCAAATGTATCTGTAGCTGACAGGGCACGTCCAATGTATGACATGTCGAACTTAAGAATTCAGGTTTAGGATATAAAAATATACCCCTTTCAATTCAAAGAAAATTCCTATGGCTGAGATCAAATCAAATGAGCGAATGAATGTCGTAATTTTATGAATGAATTGAGTACTTTATCTTGTAATGTGATCCAGAATAGTGCTGAAGAGGCAAGTGTCTTATTCTGAAACATGGGATGTCCGCTACTGTCTACTGAGGATGACATTGTTCAATGAAAGTGAAATATTTTCTTCTTTCATATTATATATTGTGTAGCAATCCTGTGGATGATATCTGATTTAATTCTATAGGGAATGCTTGGAGTACAAAGTGTATACTAATTCAATGTTCATATGAAAAAAGTTGTTTCAAAAGTATTTTTTCTTTCGTGTAATTCAATGTTTATACAAAAGTAGTTATTTCGAGAGGGCTTTCTTCCATTTCGATTCTGGAAGTTACTTCTTTGTATGATCTACACATCTTTGTGAATAGTTCATTTTGAAATTAATTTATTTCTTTCTTTTCTGGAAAATTTCCACAATTATTTTGTATGAAGACGAAGAAAAAAGCCAACACCTTTCTTTCCCAGAAAAATATACCCCTTTCAATTGAAAAATAACTTTGTATTGAAAATAATTCATAAGTTAACATATCTTTTTGTTGCAAAAGTACATTAATCTTCCCTTACTGAGCAGGGCAGATTGCACATTTCTTGATATGGAGATGGACATTTATATAATTCACTTATAGGTCATTCTACAAGAATACATGAATTGTCACATCCTATAGATAACAGAATACTGCACTTGATGGCGTCAAAAGTCTAGTTCTGTATTTTTTTGGGTTACACATTCTGACAAACAGACAAATTTTGTTGATGTATTTTTTGTACAATAGAAATATGAATAGTGAAAAACAATGAACACTAACTACATCATGCATTTTTTTACTTATATAATGAATGTAAAAATTCACTAGTCAAGAATAGATCGCTGGTTTAATGTAAAGTTTAAGAAACTTACCTCCTCAAATAAACAATCATTAGTCTCATTTATGAATTGATTGATCATATTTTCCATTAGATATTTGATATTTTGAGCATCTTGGCTATACAAACAAGCTACATGAGGAGTAACAGTGTCTTTTAATTGTTTAGAGAATGCAGTGAATTGAACTGCATGATCTGGCATGTTGATACCTGTTAATAGAACAGCTGTAGGAATTTCTTCAGATTCATTATAGTGACAGGTTTTGACAAAGCCAACAAGTTTCTCCAATACTCTTTCAAACATTGTATTGTTCAAATACTGCAAAGAAAGGTTTCATAAGAGAAAATAAGTTCATCTAAGGCATATTTCAGAATCTGTACCTCAATTTCATCTTCAATGCTTCTCCATAAAGTGGAATATGATCTGTACCATAAGTTTGACGAGAACAAAGAGTTTTTGAAGGAAACATTTTGGGAGAAGGTTTGTCTTTTGTTTCCTTTTTCTCGTTTGGAAGATGGTTTGAATTCATTAGAAAATACAAAGACACCCTGAAAAAATGTACTGAATACATAACCTACATAGTAACATTGACTAAGCTACGTACCTTTGAAACAGAAATAGTTTCATCATCCATTACAACAAAAAAATAAACAAATTCAACTATTACTTTCAATACATGAATAGAATTATTTTAAATAACATATGTCCTTATGTAAATATGAAATACAAAACAATTCAATTAGAATATTTCCCGCCAACGAGTGCGCTGTGAGTTCTATTTCTTCTGTATTTTCACGTAACTTGGCCTATCCTTACAAGTTCAAACGGTCATGATTTTTTATGTTTTATGAAAGGTTCGTTCATTTATCGGAATGTTTGCATTTTTTATTGCGAATGGCAAATCGTAGAGTATTTATCGCTATGGACATTCATATCTGAAGTATAAATTTTCATGCTGAAAGTATATAAGGTGATGTCTGCTGTTATTTTCTTTTAGAAGATATAACAACCCAAATAGGGTATTGTGTTTGGTTTAGCAAAACGAACCAATGTAGTTAATTCTGAAAAATAACAAAAAGACTCAGATTTTTCACCTGAGAGTTATAGCCAGCATTTCAGCAGCAGGTGTGGTTTCAACAATATTGTAAGCAAGTTATACGAAATTAATTGACATTAAAGTTGAAATGGAATTGCTTAATCGATTGAACATTAAATTTTATATTCATTTCATGATGTCCTCAAAATAACTGACTGTAAGCTCTAGCATTTTAGGCATTATTTAACATAACCGCATAGACAGTAATAGCTACCTGTGTGTCCGGAATATAAATACTCTAACTTTTAACTGCGGTTGACGCCTGTTGGTGACTCCGTGCAAATCTTTTTTTAGATCGAACACACTCTTCAATGTTTTTCACACTCTTCAATGTTTTTAGAGTATTTAAATTCCGGACCCGTAAGTCATGTATGTAGCTATGTCATGTTAGATGATGCCTACAATGCTAGGCCTTCTAACTGAAACTATAAATATGCGGTTGGCGACTGTTCTTGAATCCGTCTGTTTTCCATTTTTGATAACGAGGTGTTGCCCATCTTTGCACATGGCTGCACCGTGCTTATGAAGCCAATAGTCAAGAACACGTATGAATTGTTTGTCTAGTCTTTTCGAATGTTTCGTCCGTCAGCTTTCCTGTTTTTGATTTAGATCAAACACACTCGATATATGTTTGTTTGTGTGCTCGTGAAGGTTTCGCGGTCGCAATCTGATAGTTTGAAGTCTGGGTTGAACCACGTCTGAATTTTTCAGTTATAAAACGTTTCGGCTTCGACTTTGAAGAGTAATTTTCAGGAAAATATAACTACACTGAGGTCTCAATCTGCCTACTCCTCAGGTAGTAACATGTTTCAAATATTTTGTGACTTTTCGAAAATAACGATGATAATAAATGTTTAGAAATGCTGCAACATGGAATAGAAGATGTTAGTATATCGTAGTATTAGTATACAATCGAAAAATTTCATTGAGCATAAGTAGTATTATTGAAAATGGTTAGATTCTTCCTATCATCATCAATTCATAGTCTCGAAGATTTTGTATTTTGATAATATTCAACAATTTTGGTAAATGAGAAATAAAACTTTCTATGGTTTCTTTCACATCTATTCGTGGCGGATGTCACAGCAGATTCGTCCTATGAAGACAATGAACTGAAAATGAATCATAATGTTAGCCCTTATATGAATTCAGATATGGGTTGGAATTGTCCGATACTTGATGGAATCCATTATAATATATTCAAAAAATACTTCATTATGTGGTACTGACTTGATACTCTACACTATCGTCCAGTTACGACATCTACTGGACATATTGAAACTGTGACAGACGGTAAAACAAAAAAGAAATTCTCTCATCTGTTTTCATATTTTGTTGTGGCTTCTTGTGCTAACATCTTCTGGACGTATTGAAACTGTGACACATGGTAAAACAAAAAATGAAGTCCTCTCAGCTGTTTTCATATATTGTTGCGGCTTCTTGTGCTTCCCTTGGGAGGAAGTAATTGATTTTACCTATTCATCATTTTCTCATGTCCACAATGAACGCACTAAAAACATTACATTCACTAATTCACAGTTAAATATCTCCTAAAACAATAAACATAGCATATGTTTAACATTCAGTTACTCCGATCAGCTGTTAGCTGTTTGAATAGCTCGCCGTTATCGGTAGAAATTCTACCCTATATACTTTTGTAACAGGCGAGAAAATCTTCTACATATCTGTACCAAAAATGAATATGTTTTTTACCCAGGTCGAAATTAACTATAGTGGTCTCTGAGCTGTTCATAAATATATCTGCTAAAAGTTGACTAAGTGACTCTGATTCAGGCATACATCGAAAGCTGCCGACATTTCAAAAGAAGTGATACGGTCTACTTTGGCTTGATCTAATATATTTAAAATGAGAGGTTTACATTTTTTGTACGGTATGGTGGAGAACATACTCTTTACATAGAACACAAACTAAGTAAGTGGTTTGTGACATCGAATGAAACTAAAACTGAATTAGGCTGTGATTCGGTGGTGTGGTTTAAGTTACTTATTTTATTCACTGAAGTCAGCGGATTTTTAATGTTGTGACGTGGACTGAATTGATAATATTTTTGAACAAGACGTGTTCCTTGTTCTCTTACCGGGCTGTTTATATAGTAAACTACCGGTATTATAAAGTTTTTATTAGGCAGTATAGTTTGAAGAAGGGTTCATGTTGGTGATTCTTCCTTTCTTTAATTCAGTGAAAATGAGTTCAGTATCTGAAAGGAATTTTTAAAGTTCATTCCGACTATTTCGTTGTTTTCTTTATAACAGTAAGATTTTCATTATGAATGACTGATTCAATTTTCTGAATATATATCAATTTGAGCTGCTTCATTCAGTACTCTGGAGTTATTTCTTTTTTTATTCGTCGCTGAACCAGTTTCGTAAAACTTATTCTCCAAATCAAGCACATTCCTTCTTCGAAGTTTCCACTTGACAATGAAATTGACCTGTTTTTTCGATTTCTCGTATTGTTTACTGGAAGGAAGATATTAGGGTGGGAAATTACCAGTTATTTTTCTCCAAGTTACATGACTGACCGACTGCGAATAGTCATAATGCTCCATAAATGGCTCGAATAGTTATTGTCATTGTCTACCCAGAACGGGAACCTATCTCATGAATGAGGAATAGAAGGCTGGCATGACTATGTATCCCTTCATTGTTTAACAACGAACTGGGATGTTTCCGACGCTCTAGATCATTTATAAAAATTCGATAATATTTTATTTTCCAAACTATTCAAGAACGTCAAAGTTATCATGCTTTATGTCTTCCAAAATGCACACTCTTCGAGTAAATACGGATACCTTCTTTGAATATTAGTAGTTGTAGTACAATAGTAATAACTAAGTAATTTTAGTAAGTAATTTTATTCAATTTTCATGTCAATCAATTATTCAGTTACATGATTTGTTTTCCGTGCGATTTACAATTCAAATGTCTTATCATATAAACCATATATTACACAATCTGTAGCCACCTAAGCTAGGCTTGTGTCGTGGCTAAAGACTGATATAA